CCCGCCTCTTCCTCCTCCTCTCCGACAACGGACTCCTCCTCCCGTCTGCCTCTGTCTCACACACGCACAAGCACACCCCTGCCTCGTCTCCCGCCTAACCCTCTCTCCCTTCCTCTCTCCTTCCCGCCCCCTCTCTTTCCTCTCCACCTCTCCTCCTCTCTCTCTCTCTCCCTTCGCTCATTTCCCCCGCAAGCGCTGTTTGTGCGCGTTACCTTCCCCCTCAGCGCGCGTTCGCATGGTGTCCGAGTGAGGAGGCTCTGCATTGCACGGGGTTCTCGATGTGCGGGTCACACGAGGATAGGATGGAGCTGTCAGCCAGAAAGAAAACGGGTGTCCAAAGGGCCTGCCTCCTCGCCGCACCACTCTCGAAATGTGAAAACGACAAAACTATCGCGCGCGTGTATCTCTCCGCGCTCTACCAGAAAAGTGCGTCCTCCATTTCGCACATTTGGCCCCACAAGCGCGGCTGGTCCCAATCCCCCAACGCCGTACCGCCGTAAGCGCAGCGTATTCCCGCCCGCCTACCGCCGTCGAGTCGCCCGCCGACCGAAAATGCCACAATTGTCAGAAGCGGGGAACCGCCCTTTCGAGCAGACCGAAGGACCCCGCCGCACCACACACCAAATCTGCCCAACGATAACGCATCTTCCGCTAGATCCTGGAATCATACATCGCCATAATTCTTGTCGTTTCTGCGTTCCGCGAGCGGTGCGGCAAGGCCCAAAAGAGCCTCCGACCGGTAGGCCGCCCCTCACTCCCGCACCGAAGCCAAAGTATTCCGCGCCAGTGCCGCGCAAGTTTCCGCCCCTCACACCCGCACCAAAGCCAAAGTATTCCGCGCCGTTGCCGCGCCGCTGCCGAGCCTCTGCCGCGCAAGTTTCCGCCCCTCACTCCCGCACCAAAGCCGAAGTATTCCGCGCCAGTGCCGTGCAAGTTTCCGCCCCTCACTCCCGCACCGAAGCTGAAGTATGCCGTACCGTTGCCGACCCTCTGCCGCGCAAGTTTCCGCCCCTGACTCCGAAGGCAATCGATACGGAATGGCGCCCCTGCGGTGAGTGACATGACAGGAAAACGATATCTTATTATTCTTTTTCCGTTCATCTGTTTCCTCTCGTCGATTCGAACCCGGGCCTATATATCAACAGTTGATGGGTGTGCCAGCGGGTCTACCGGCAATAGGCCCGTCTGTAGTCCCGCTGGTGGACCGATATCTTTTCAGTTGGCGAATGCGCGAATAAAGCGCAATCTTGTCCTCGTCCCTTCGGTCGCCCCTACCCAATCTTTCCGCCCCCGGCTACCTACCGTAGTAGTAGTAGTAGTACCTTTTTTTTTCTTTTTTTTTTTTGGGTAGTAGTAGTTCCGCGCCCCCGAGCAGCTCCACGCCATGGACGACCTGCGCCCCCCTAGTTCCGCTTCAAGCTACCAGCCCCGCGCCCCCGACTACTTCCGCCCCCGCCTAGTTCCCCTCACGTTCTTCCGCAGCCTCGGGTCCGCCCACAAAATCGAGCGCGGCAGCACAAAACACATCCAGATCCGGGGGATTGCTCCAAACCTCCTCTTTGCTTTGCTACCGTAGTGAGACATCGCCCCAGGAGAAATGAGAAGCGGGCTATTTATTTATTTATTTAGAGACTTGGGACATCGCCGCAACCCACGAACCCACGTTCTCCGTACCTGGCCGTAGATCTTCGGGATCCACGGTCAGCAGCGAACAACGGGGCTGAAACGGGACTCCACCCCACCCCGGGGGTTGACAGGCGAACCACCAACGGAACATATGGGGCGAGGAGCGAGGACTGGATTTAACGCCTCAATCTGGACGTTCTTGTGAGAGGTGCAGAGAATAACGGTTGGTCTGCTTCTCTGCATCTCTGCATCCCTTCGTAAATCATGTCCACATTCAGGCACATAATCCTCCCCCACGTTGCGCTGGATACTCCCGACCAGAAATCGCAGGCCCGCTAGCCGCTGTTATAGCCGTACCGTATTTGATTGATGTAAGCCTTGGGCACTGGGCCCATTTGTAGCCGCAAAGCCAGTCAGGTTTTTTGGGCTGGGCTACCCTAGAGGAAAGGTGGCACTGAAGGCTGTGGTGCTATGCGATTCAGGAGTGCGTTTTATACCCCTGAATCATGTTTGTTTTTTTCTTCCGCCCTTTGGACGTACTGTTTGTCCACATTCAGTTCCAAAGGGTTGTGAATTTGCTGGGGCCCCAATTCAAATTGTCTACCCATGCATGCGGGGAACGCAGCCCTAAGGTAGCCAAATCAATGAGACTAAGAGCTAACACAAGAGAGAGAGAGAGAGAGAGAGAGAGAGAGAGAGAGAGAGAGAGAGAGATTGAATGGCAAATATGGGTCAAATTGCGGCCGCGATCTATTTTGCAGTTGGAATGATTTTTTTAAATTTATTGGCCCAGGTATGGCTGAGTGGCAAAAATGGAAAACGTGCCGAATCGGTGCGACGATTATTTCGCAGTGTAAATGATTTTTTTTAAATGTTATATTATTATTTCTGGAAAGAACACGACCTCATTTATGGATTCTCAAAATTTCAGATTTTTGTGCATGTTCGTTCAAGCACAGAAAATCGCCAAAGTTGACTCTTGCAAAACGCCTATTTCGTTGTGCCTGACCTCCCTGTTTTGAGAAGACGGGGCTCAATGCCTGGGCCTGAGGACCCTTTTGCAGTTCACATGGCCTCACTTCTTTTTGGGGTCCGCTTCTACCCGGGGTCCGGTCCAACGCCCCCCACTTCTTTTTGGGGTCCACTTTCACCCGAGGACCGGTCCTTCCTTTTTCCAAAAGTCCCAGTTCTAGAAGAGCTAGCTGTAGGTAGTCCGCAGTTTTGCCAAGGACCGGTCCCCCAATTTTTTTTGCCCCCTAAGAACCCACTTTGCGTCCTGGTCGCCCGCCACCGAAAATGCGACACCTTGACAGAGACGCGGAAACACACTATACCGCAGCCTAAGGGCTGCGAATTCATGTTGAACAGGTTATTGTTGCTTGCGGAAGACTGGTAGCTGCCCGTAGGAGGCCATGGTCCTCGAGTTGAACATTTCAAAATTGAAACGGCGTGGGTCCACTTTCTCGAAGAGAAGTGCACTTCCAATGGACCACGTTCGCGTTGTATTCGCATACAGCATGTATATTTCCTAGTCGAATTTCGAAAAGAAAAAGCCTCTTTGTATTCGAATAGAACATTGCCTTTTCTTTTCTTTTTTCGAGGTTAGTGCCTGCCCTTGTGCTCCCTGCAACTGACATGTTGCATGCTGCAGGGCCCTCTCTCTCTCTCTCTCTCTCTCTCTCTCTCTCTCTCTCTCTCTCTCTCTCTCTCTCTCACACACACACGCACACACACACACGCACACACACACACACACACACACACACGCACACACACACACACACACACACACACACCGTGTTGTTGGTGTTGCCTTGCACTTCACTGCTCCGCTGTCGTGCTGCTCATCCGTCGGTCGTGCCTTCCATGTTTGCTGCTTGTGTGCCCTGTAAGTTGGTTGCCTTGTTGCTAGTGCCTTGTGCTCCACTCCACGGTTGCCGACCTGCTGGTCCGCTCACCCTGTCATCCCCTGCTGTGTTGTTGTCTTGCTTGTGTTGTCTTGTGCTCCACTTCACGGTTTCCGCGCTGAATGCCCTGCGTGCTATGTCATTCCTTGCAGTCGTTTTTGGCGTTGTGCAACCGTGTTGCCTCTATTGTGTTGCCTGGTGCTCCACAGGGTTGCTGCCCGCTGTTATGTTCAGCTTGGGGACAGTCTGCCTTCAACAAGGGTCAAAGGGTTCATGACCCGAACCATCAAATACGGAGATTCCGCAAATTGTCGAGGGTTCAGTCTTCTGATGAGTCGGTGCAACTCCGCCAAAACAATCTTTTTATTATCAGTTTTTTTTTTTTTTTCAATATTTGTCTTTTCATCTACTGTTGTTGCTTTTGCTGACTTGCGTTGTCTATCTCCCTACTCGCCTCGCCTTTCCCCTCTGGCCTATGTCTATGTCTTCCGTGGGTGCGACTTGTATCTTTGTTTATTGTCTTTGCCTTTTCCTATGTGTTGTTGTGCCCGCCCACCTTCCCCGTGCCCTCCAGCCTATGTGTTTTGTTGTTGCTTATAATTTATGTGTCTTGTATGTCTCCTCGGTGTGCATTACCAATTGTTTTGCTCCTCTTTGCCCCCTCCCCATGTTCTAGTCTGATTGGTTTCAACAGTAGGGCATTCAGCTTCTCTTTGTTTGCTTGTTTTTGTCATGCCATATGAAGTGGACGATTTATTTTTCAATATATTGCTTGATGTGCTTTTCTGCACAACTCGCCACGTTTGTTCACGTGGGGGTTTAGTAACAATACTACAAACTTTTCGCGGAAATTTTGGCTCAGCCCACTAAAGGGGGTGATATGAGCGTCCCCATATAGATGACAAAATGCTCTTGTCTATTAGTGGGGAGGGACACCTGCTGGAAACCGGGTCCAGTGTCTCATGAACATTGTGAATAAAGCACCAGTCGGGACCCCCCACACACATACTCTTGGAGTTGTGTATAGCAAATATGACAAACATAGATAAAGCATGATCACTGCCTTACCCTTCCCCAACCACAACAACAAACAAAGGGACTACACACCCATGCCCTCACAGTAAGTCAATACATGAAGGGTCACATTGTTGACAAAGGCCGACTATAACTCTACAGAGTGGGGCTTAGAAACAGGCCTACTACCCGGTAGTAGGAAAAGACTAGCCCAGTTGATAAGGCACTCAACAGGGCGTGCGTTTA